ACAATTCCAACATTTGGATTGTATATATTTACCACAGTGACCAACGTTTTAACAAGTACTCCAAAAATAATAATAATAATAAGGAAAGGAATATGTCTGGAACGGTAAGTGATAAATTTTTTTATGTAAACATGGAATAAAAGTTCAACTATAATAATCAAGGGAAAACATAATCATATTATTAGGTACATATGAAACAGCTTTAAGTTATCAAATAGCTCTAAAACAACACTAGACCCCCAATGGTTGATTCACGACATGGGGATAAAACAAAATAGTTCTATAAGTTAGAAACCATTCCTTTGTCCTCCTCCTCTCTTCCCGTGACACTATGTGCTAAATTGTCTGCTTTAAACTAATTTTATTTTACCACTATTATTGTATTTACTCTTTAATAAACTAAGTCTACGTAAACTTTTTTTTTTTTTTATTTTCCAATCAAACGAAGAAAAAAAACGTAATGTATACCACTGATTCAATTACAAAAACAAAAGGAAAAATAATAATAAACTAAGTCTACCGTAAACTTTTTTTTATTTTTATTTTCCAATCAAACGAAGAAAAAAAACGTAATGTATACCACTGATTCAATTACAAAAACAAAAGGAAAAAAAATAAGTATGTAGGTACTTAAATAATATTATATACTTACTAATATTTTTCGTGCACCATTACGTTTCTTGGTTTAGAGCAACAAGATGCATATGTTACTAATGAGAGACAAAGCCAACGAGAGCAATGGCGGGATCAACAACGTATGAGGCGGAATTCAATGAGTTCAAGGCAAAAGCACGATTACTTAGCACAACGACGATCCAATTATCGTGATCAACAAATTCAATGCTCAAACATAATGTTATTTGGTGGCAATACCGATCAAGTTCAACACCCTAACATAGTGCAATTCAATGAAGGCAGTAGCAATCATGTTGAACGACTCAACATAGTGCCGTTTGGAGAAGGCAGCAACAATCAAGTTCCAAGAACAATGCGCTTAACTCATATAAGGCAAATTGCTCGATCGAATAGGGCACGCTTGCCTCAGGATGGACTTATTCAAAGTTTAACTAATAATGGTAATCGCACAAACTACCATACTACAACTTTGAAAAAGATAAATATCAATATCATCATTATTGTAAACACCACTTATTACCTTACTTCTATTCCATTTCATTAATACAGAAAACACAACAAGGCAATCATTCCGTTCGAATACTCCAATGAATCATTCTTATCCACCCATCATCAATGAAGGTATCGGTTTTGGAATATTAATACCTACAATTTTAACTATGCTCTCTAAATCATAAAACACTTTTAATGTTTCCTTTTGAAGCAGATGATTTTAATCTCATTAATGAAAATGAGATCCAGCCTAACGAGGACGTACCACCTCGACAGCATACGATGGGAACAAGGCCAATTCATAATTGTGCTAGAAACTTCAATGAAAAACATGGGAATCCCAAGATTTCACATGCCAAATCCAACCACATGTCCAGATTGTCATGCCCGTTTGTTCTCTCATGAAACATTTGAAATGTGTTGCTTACGTGGAAAGCTTGCTCTACCATTGACACCATCCCCTCCTGAAATGACTGAGCTTTTTTGCAACCAATCTGCCCAGGGAAGACATTTTAGGCAGAATATACGAGCTTACAACCACATTTTTGCCTTCACATCAATGGGAGTTCATGTTGACGAAAACCTAGCAACAGGAAGACGTGGTATTTACACATTTCGTGCTCAAGGTTCCATATACCATAAGATTGGAAGTCTCTTGCCTATTGGAGATAGTAGACCAAGATTCCTACAAATGTATATATATATGACACTGCTCATGAAATAGACAATCGGATGAGAGAAAGTGAAGCACTAAACAGAGATGTGGTTGAAAAAATCCAACAAATCTTGAATCAATATAATCCATTTGTGCAAACATTTCACCACCTTGCACAACGTCAAGATTTGCAAAGTTGTAGATTGATTATCAAGGAGCAGCCCGCGAATCAACGACAATATTGTCTACCGTCTGCATCTCAGGTTGCTGCAATCATAGTAGGTGGTGAAGGATCAGAAAACATTAGAGGTCGAGATATTGTTGTGCAAACTACGGATGGTCAACTTAAGAGTATCAAAGATTGTGTCGGCTACTATGACCCTTTACAATATCCATTGTTGTTACCTTATGGAACGTACGGATGGGATGTGAATACTCGAAATAATACCAACAGAAAAGTGACATGCTGTGACTATTATTCGTATGTTCTTCAGGTAACCTAAGACCTTCATCTCTGTCAATAAATATTAATTTTTAAAACTTATATTGTGTTGAACAATGAATTTTATCATTTTAGATCCGTCAACATGATGAATCGCTTCTACTTCGTGGTGGCCGCCTATTGCAGCAATATGTAGTTGACAACTACGTAAAGATCGAATCACAAAAGCTTAGATGGATGCGTGATAATCAACACACAATTCGATCTGAATTTTATCGAGGACTACAAGACTCATTAATTGCAGGACAAAATAATGCAGGTATGAGGCTAATCAGTTTATAATAAAAAAAATATATTCTTCATGTTCATGTTTTGTCACATTAAATGAGACTTATTAATGGGTTGAAACAAAACAAACATATTTAGACTTATTAACGACTTTTAACAAAACAAATACAGGAAACATTGGTCGTCGTAGGACTATATTACCATCATCTTTTGTTGGTAGTCCCCGTGACATGTATCAAAGGTATCAAGATGCAATGACTTTGGTGCAAAAATATGGAAGACCAGATATTTTCCTAACAATGACATGTAATCCAAATTGGGAAGAAATAAGTGATGAGCTACTACCTGGCCAAGCACCACAAGATCGACCAGATTTGCTTACAAGGGTTTTTTGTGCAAAATTCGAACAGTTGAAGAATGATGTTATAAAAAAAAGTGTTTTAGGCAGAGTTCTTGCATATGTATATGTCATTGAGTTTCAAAAGCGCGGTCTCCCCCATGTTCACATGCTTCTCATGTTAGAAGAAAATGATAAGCTTAATAGTCCAGATGATTATGATCAGATGGTACGTGCTGAAATACCAATTCCAAATGAAGAGCCTGAATTGTATGGTGCCGTGTTAAGGCATATGATACATGGTCCATGTGGAATACACAATTCACGATCACCTTGTATGAAACGTGGTAGTTGTAAACGAAATTATCCTAAGCCATTTGCACCAACTACAGTTCAAGGAAATGATTCTTATCCAGTCTATCGTAGAAGAGACAATCATAATCCAGTCCCATTAGATCAAAATGCACGTATAATGGTGGATAATCGGTGGGTCATTCCGTATAACTCATGGTTACTCCTCAGATATGATTGTCATATTAATGTTGAGATTTGTTGCAGCATTAAGAGTGTTAAGTATCTGTACAAATATGTTTATAAAGGTCCTGACCGAGTAGCTTTTGAAGTCCATCCTGAACCTATTCAAGATGAAATAAAGCAGTTTGTTGATGCAAGATGGGTTTGTGCACCTGAAGCTTTATGGAGAATATTCAAATTTGTAACTAATCGACTTTATCCATCGGTGGAACGATTACAAATTCATCTCCCTGAAGGACAAACTGTTCATTTTTACCCTCACCAAAGAGTATCAGATATTTTGGCAGATGACACAAACTCGATGACTATGTTGATAGAGTTTTTTACCAAGAATACCACTTGCCCGGAAGCACGACGATACTTATACCGGGAGTTCCCTGAACGGTTCAGATGGAGTCAAAGAGATAAAGTCTGGAGTGAGAGGATGAATAACCATAAAGTTATTGGCCGAATATATGCAGTTTCGCCAAATGAGGGTGAAAAATTCTACTTACGCATCCTTCTTAATCATGTTAGAGGACCAACATCATTTGACGATTTAAGAACAGTCAATGACATTGTACAACCAACATTTAAAAAGGCAGTGGAACAACGAGGTTTGCTAGAAGATGATGATAGCATCAGACAATGTCTTCGTGATGCCTCTAACATTCGAATGCCGCCAGCTTTACGAAGGTTGTTTGTTACCATCTTGGTTTACTGTGAACCGCATGGAGTAAGAAGATTGTGGGATGAATTTCATTCATTTATGGTAGAAGATTATTCTGTCTCAAGTACCATAAATAATACTTTTATCTTAAACAAGCTTTTGCAAGACTTGAATGGGCTATTAGTGCAACATAGTAAGTCTGTATCTGATTACGATTTACCACAAATAACACAAGATTGTGTTAGACACAACACACTTCCAAGGATAATACAAGATGAAGTTTCACTTGACATCTCTGAAGCAGACCTCAATGCGGTACATAATCTAAATGAAGACCAAATGGTAGCGTATAATTCGATTGTGTCTGCTATTGAACGTCGAGACAATGCCATATTTTTTGTGGATGGTCCTGGAGGGACGGGAAAGACATACTTATATTGTGCTTTGCTAGCAACGTTAAGGAGCAAAGGTCATATTATTCTGGCAACAGCAACATCTGGAATTGCAGCAACCATATTGCCAGGCGGAAGGACAGCACACTCTAGATTTAAAATTCCCCTCAGTCCAGATGCATCTTCCACGTGTTCTATTAGTATCCAGTCAGATTTGGCAGAATTGATAAAGAAAAACATCAGCTGTTGTTTGGGATGAAGCACCAATGGCACACAGGTTTGCATTTGAGACACTCGATCGAACGTTCAAAGATATAATAGGTGTTGACCTGCCATTTGGAGGAAAGGTCATGATTTTTGGAGGAGATTTTCGACAAGTTCTTCCAGTTGTTCCAAACGGTACAAGGTCTGAATTGATGCAAGCAAGTATGATTAATGCTTCATTTTGGGGACATGTGAAAATCATTCGTCTTAGGCACAACATGAGATCCATCAATGATCAAGATTTTTCAGAGTTCTTACTTCATGTCGGCAATGGGGAACAAGAAACTATGATAGACGACATGATGCAATTACCATCATCTATGGTCATTCCATGGAATGGTGAAGAATCCATTGTCCAATTTGTTAATGAAGTTTTCCCTGATTTGGAATGTCATGTATGTGATTCAAGATACTTGGTGGAAAGGGCAATTATAACTCCAAAAAATGAGGATGCTGACAAGCTTAATAAAATGATCATCGATAAATTTCCAGGGACTGAACATATCTTATACTCTTTCGATTCAGTTGAGGACGATGTGAGAAATTTGTATCAACAAGAGTTCTTGAATTCAATCTCACCTGGTGGAATGCCCCCTCATCAGTTAACTTTGAAAAAAGGTGCCCCAATAATGCTTTTGAGAAATATCGATCCGAAGATGGGGTTGTGCAATGGTACAAGACTGGCTTGCCATGGAGCTTACAATAATCTAATTGATGCCGAAATCTTATCTGTACAATTTGCTGGAACTAGAGTATTTTTACCAAGAATCTCTTTAAAGACCACAGAGAAAGCGCAGGACTCCCATTTGAAATGATGAGAAAACAGTTTCCAGTGTGAAATTGAGTTTTGCACTAACCATAAATAAATCACAAGGGCAGACAATACCAAATGTGGGTATTTATCTACCAGATCACGTATTCAGTCATGGACAATTGTACGTGGCTTTATCAAGAGGAGTATCAGCGTCTACAACAAAAGTCTTGGTAAAGAAAGGAGAATTACACGGTCATGAAGGAGTCTTCACAAAGAATGTTGTGTGTACAAAGATATTTTGCTTCCCTCGAATTCAACATAAGCTTATATTCTTTCTTTTAATGTTTAATTCCCGTTTTCAAATTTTAATACAATTCAATTACAAATAATGCTAATATTTGATTCTAACCGAACGCATTAAATTTTCAACAGGACGGCGATATGAGTTCATGATATGAAGAACCGTCAAGTGTATCAAGGCCATTTGAAGTTCTTGGATTGTTTTTATACTTTTTACTTAGCTTTTAGTTGCAACTAAATATTAAGGATCTTCTATGTTATTTATTACTTTTTTTTTTTTTACAAATTCTAGATAAATACTTTAAATTACTACCTGTATTATTAGAGATGATAATCGTCTTTATTTTATGTTTCTATACATTGAACCAATCCTCGCATATAAATACATCTAAAATGTGTAAGTCGCGTGTAGCGCGCCGTGATGAAAAAAGTGTCTTTCGCACGCGCGTGAGGACACTGTAATAGGCACTGCTGTGTGTGAGAGAGTATCCACGTCAACAACTTCAAATTTATTGCTTCCTATTATGTGCAGCCATATCATACTTTCTAAACCATATACATTAACAATTACAATGGAAAAAAACTAACACAATACACATTTAGGGGCGCGTAGCGCCCGTGATGCAAAAATGCCTCTCGCATGCACGTTAGTGCGTGCAGAGAGGCTAGTAGAATAATAATCAAATAGAGACCAATTAGTCTACAACTAATATAATAGTGCGTTGTTTAATTTTAGGTCACTATGCAATATATAATTATTTTTTATAAAAAGATATCAGTGGTGACTTCATCACGGTAATTTACTTTTTGAGAGATTATGTAATGTATAATTAGTTAGGACTTTTTATACATAAGGTGTGCTATCCACATACTCTTTTTTACTTCTCACACACTCTTTGTTAATTTATATCCGTTGATCTTCCTCAATTCATCAAATCCGACGGTCAAAAATTAGAAGGGTATATGAGAAGTAAAAATGGGTATGTGGATATCACATCCCTATATTATCCTAAGCCTATAAACAAGCACTCTAATAAGAAGGAAATGACACTCAAATCTCCTTCACTTTCTCTCTCGTCTCTCTATTCTTTCATGCTCCATATTTTATTTACAACACATTATCAGCATGCTCTTGATATAATTCTTATGGCTAGTCTGTTATTGATGTGCTTTAAAAAAAAAAAAACTGATTATACTGTGTTATGAGAATAAAACTATGCAATAAAGGAGTAAAGTGTTTGATAAATTATCATTGTAAAGTGCTTTTAGCAAACAAAAAAACAAGTATTATAGTGTTTGAAAACTTTTTATGTAAATTAACTGTAAATGTATAAAATGAGAAAAGAGACATATAATTCTTAATTTGAATTTATTCTAAATACTAATTTATTTCAATTCTTTATTTTTTATTCTTCAAAATATCTGGTATTGTGTATGTTAAAATATCTGGTATCATAAATTAATATTATTCTTGGATAAATTCACTTAAAATTTTCATTTAAAACCTTTATTGATGAAAACTGGGTTTCAGTCTTCAGTGGATTATTATTAGGTGCCTTATCTATCATTTTTGTTGTACTAGTCATCTTCATTATCAACAAATTTCCTGTACTCGTCGACTTCAAAATCAACAAATTTCCTGGTATCAATAAAGAAGTTTTAATGAAAAAGAATTCTCCAAACATTTTATTAACCAAATTTTATTAAATAATTTTATTTATTGAAAAAATAATAATGAAAATAACTTAAGTTTTAACGAAGTGGACACAAGTTTAATATATTAAAAAAAATAAAAAAAGGAATAAAAAACTTAGGCGCGATCACACTGTCTCACCTCTCCCTCACTATTTCTGTGTACATTGACTATTTCTTAAATTGAACACTGATATTATCACTATTGCTTAAACTGAATATTGATTATATCTTACACTGATTATTACTGAAACTGGACAGGATACTAATTTTGAAACCGAACACGAGTTGGCGTGCGCCTTGCACACTTTTGGAAGGTTTGTTTTCCTTTTCTTTCATTTGTCCTTATCATTAAATAAAATTATAAGATGACATTTTAGTTAAAATTCAAAATTTTGAAGTCATTTTCTTGGTTTTCCTTTAATATAACTCCCTACTACCAGTGGCGAAGCTACAGAGGTCTGGGAGGGGTGGCCGCCCCTCCACTCGCTTAAAATCAACCCGAGAAATGATGGTCCAGCCCTTTGGGTCGTCGGAAAACCTGCAAGGTGAAGCCATGGCTGCTGCAGGCTGTATATCTGTGCAACGACTATGTGTTTTATTATAAGCAATCCCACGAAGAAGACGCATTCTTTGCCTTGGAAAAACAAAAATAATAGATGCCTAACGGCGTCGTTTGGGCATTAAAAATATAAAAAAAAAAACATACAGATGGTGACCACTTATCCCCATTAACTCTCACACTTTCACTTCCCTACTTCCCACCACACTGACGTGCCTTCCGCCTTTTTTTTTTTAATTTACATTATTAATTCATAACTTAACATAAAAAATTTGCTTAATTGACATTCTTTATAAGAATTACAGCGTAATATACATATTAATTATTGATATGAATGATTGATTATTGATGAATAAGTGGATATGTTTGTTCCTGCTTGGAATTTAAAGAATTGAATCTTGATGCATATTTTTACATGATTTTTATTGCAATTTGATCTTTGATTTAGAATAGCCTTTCACCAAATCCTTCGTTTTTGTTGCTAATTTCACTGTGGGAGTCAGATTGGTCCTTAAAATCGTAGATTTTTAAGCAAAATTTAGCTACCATTATTCGAAAGAGTTCAAATTTTATTAAAATTTGATGCTTGAAGTGTGATAACCCGTCCCTAATTTTACGATTTTATAATTTTTAAAAGCATGAATCAACGAAAATGCCCTAAATGCGAGATTATTGACTTTCGTTGACCGTTAGCTCGTGAGGCGTATGAGTTATTACGTTACCGTACCCCCAAAGTACTCAACAATACGAACGCGTAGGCGCAAGCAGAATCGAAATTGGAGGTACGATGAAGATTTCACGAAACTCGAATCTGAGAAAAACTTTCGTAAAAAATTACTATTTTATATATATATATATATATATATATTGAAAGTATTATATTATTATATTATTATTTTAACATTTTCTGTTTGGATATTTTGAATATTTATTCATTTATATTTGGCCCGTGGTGACAAACCCCGACCCGGAATATCCACTAGGACTCCGAATCGAGCTGTGCTGACCAATACCTGGAAGGTAACGAAGCCATAAAATATGATGATGTGGAAGATTGTGAATAAATTTAAACCTAAGAGTGCCTAAATACCAGAGTGCACCGGTGAGCGGGAATGAATCCACTTCACACTTGACGTTAGAGCATAAGCAAGTACATAAGAGTGAATTAAGAATCGTACCCTCGAAATAATCTCCAATACTAAAAATCGTCACGAATCTTCGACGATAAGAAAGTTCAGCTAATAAAACCTAGAAGGTGAAGACAAGACAAGGGTGAGTGGCCCTGTAAGTAAAATTTTAATAGAAATCATGCAAAACATTATAACCCCTCACTACAACACTTGTATAGTTCCTAGAAAATTCATAATATACCACAACACAACATTTCATCAATAATATCAAATAATCATGCGATTAATAACTCATACTAGTACGCAAGTCGGAGTCACCTAGGGTGACCTGTACAACTTACCCATATCTCATCACATATGTTAGTTCATAACATATTCATTACATATGCTAGCTCGTCACGTATTCATTACATATGCTAGCTCATTACATATCTATCACATATGTTAGCTCGTCTCTTATTCATTACATATGCTAGCTCATCACATACTCATCACATATGCTAGCTCATCTCTTATTCGTTACATATGCTAGGTCATCACATAATCATCACATATGCTAGCTCATCTCTTATTCGTTACATATGCTAGTTCATCACAGACTCATCACATATGTTAGCTCGTCTCTTATTCCTTACATATGCTAGCTCGTCACATACTCATCACATATGCTAGCTTATCTCTTATTCGTTACATATGCTAGCTCATCACATATGCTAGCTCGTCTCTTATTTCATTACATATGCTAGCTCATCACATACTCATCACATATGCTAGCTCATCTCTTATTCATTACATATGCTAGCTCATCACATATGCTAGCTCGTCCCTTATTCATTACATATGCTAGCTCATCACATATGCTAGCTCTCGTCCCTTATTCATTACATATGCTAGTTCATCACATACTCATCACGTATCTCATCAATCGTGGCTAGCATATAAGTCGGAGTTACCTCAGTGACCTGTACGACTATACTCATATTTCATTAATCATTGCTAGCACATAAACTGGAGTCACCTCTAGTGATCTATGCCACACTACGCCTGCACACGAGTCGGAACCACAGTAGTGGTCTGTACGACATAACTGGGTGTAAATGAATACGCTCAAGTGCTACGATCATGTGAAGAGTCACGTATAAGTCAGAACCACCTATAGTGGTCTGTACGATAGGCATGTGCACCTACCTTGAATTCAAGGTGAGCGTATAGTGCGGGAGGTGAACATTACGTGAAGGACTGTGCCCTGGCCACGGGGTTTATGAGCTTTGAATGCATCTAATACAACATGTACGACTCATAAGCAACTTGTACGACGATGCCGGAGTTTCCTACTATTGCAACATGTACAACAGTGTCGGAGTTGTTTTAAACATAAATGTCTAATGGTTAGGTCCTTGATCTTTGATCATGTCAAAGGCATTCCATTGGAGTGTCCACGGCATTGTTGTGGTCAAGCTACCTAGTCATGTAGGCATATGAATGCACAACAAGGAATCTCTAACCTTCAATGGTGGAAAGAGAATACTCTAAGATATGATTCGAGAGTCTTTTGGCCAAAGCATATGAATATGACTTAGGAAGTTTGTTCCAAATCATATTCAATTGAATCATATAGATAAATATCACATTGGATAGTAGACATGAAACAAACTATCACCTAAAACAATGTGGTTAAGAGTATTGTATTAGAGAATGACAGTATTGCATTGTAGTTGTAACTGGATAGGTTCTCCAACCACTTCTACTTAGCTTGGGTAACCATGATATGCTGCTAGGTGTCACTCATGGTTTGTGGAAGCCCTAAAGATTAGCAAACACTAATTTTAAGGGAGAATTGAAATGTGGTTTCAATTCACAATCGATCGTTAAGAGTAACAATCGCCCACTACCTTACTAAATGGAACCTAATGGATCGTACATCGAGTAAGGATGTTGGTGAAGAAATTAAATGAAATGGATAAGCAATTAAATGGTTTAATTGAAGAATGGTCAAGGTTAATTAATTAATTAATTAATTATACGAAATGTTCGTATTGGGCTTATATGTTGGTTTTGGGTTTCGGGGCCCAAAATCGTTTTGGTCCACAAGGCCCATTATGTTTAAGTTGTATGACAACTAAAACAAAATGGGCAATTAGCCCAATCAATTTGATATGGCCGGCCATTAGGGTGAGAAGTGTCAAACTTGGATTAATTACAAGTTTGCCACTCACATGTGATGAAGTATAAATTCAACTTTATAGCTTTATTTTCATTAAGGGTTTTTCTTGGTGAAATGAGGTGAAACAATTTTCTCTCATTTTCTCTAAAGAGGCCGGCCACCTAGGGAAGGAATAGCTAGCAATCTCTTCTTCACTAAGTCATCCATTTTCATCTTCACATCACATCCTTGGTGAAGAGACTTAGAGACATCAAGCTTTTGATGTTTTGGAGAACAAATCCTCAAATCCTCAAAGAAGCAAAGGAGCACAAAAAGGAGGAAAATCACAAGGAAGATCCAAGGAGCAAGGAGGTGACTTGAAGGCCCTCCACTTGGGTGAATCCCTTGTGTAATCAAGGATGAGCTTCAAGGGTAAAGAAACTCTAAATCTTTCCTTCTCTTTAATGTTGTTAAAGAGTTTATTGGTTCACCATATACTAGGCTTTGAAAGTCATGGGTTTTATAAATTGTTTTTGAATGCATGCCTACTTTAATGTGTTAATAGTTTGCATATGTATTCAAATATTCTCACATGTTCTTAGCTAGGACAAAATTTTTCCTTCACTAACTATTAATCACCAAAACATAAAGTTAAAACACACATTTTTCACCAATATCCCTCACATTGCTCAATTCCTTAAACAAGGCTATTGTCTCGATTATATAATCTCATTTCTTATATGGCTGCATCTAACGTCTCGTTAAACTGCCTACGTACCCTAAACAAGGATCAAGCCATTCGTAGTTCGCAATAATCATTTATAGTAATACGCATATGGATATATCACGATGAAATCTAAGCTCAACCATCTCATAGTATATTTTATAACCTATATATATATGTGTCATAGCATAAATTTCTCAATTTTATTTAAAAGCTTTATAGAATTATCAATCATGAAAAATATCATAAGCAAGGAAAGATCCACTCACCTGGAGTTCGCGTTACAACTTCCTAGCACAAACATCAAGGCGTCACAAACGATCGACACCTGTGACCAATTATCAAACCATATCTCGGAATTCTCGTTGATACAATACATAACTTACATCGCACATGAATCAACGTAATTCGGTCCGGAAGATCTACAAATTAGATCTCTGATCCGTAACTTCCAAGGATCCACATTATGGAATAACATACTAAAGTTTCGGAATGATCCAATGGTCGGATCTCCGCCAATTGCCAAAACCAAGTGGCGGTTAACATTTTATTTTACGAACTTACAAATCCAATTTGAGAAGATCCGTATGTCGGATTCCCAATCCGTAAGTTCCTATATTCCTCAAATATTATGAATAATAACTTATTAAAGTTTGATGACGATCCAACGGTCGGATCGTCGATTCATATAATGGCCTATTAACGTATCTTAGAGAATTTTGGTTCTAACGATCAATCTACATCATTAAATTCTCAAAACTGAATTCAAGGCATCAAATATAGCCTAAAAATAGCATTGGCGGCCCTCTAGCCACGTGCCGCCACGGGTGGCGGTTGGCCACCTCGACTCGCCGGAAAAATCAACTATCTCTAAAAATTACCAAAATTTATAGATTTGAAGATCTCAATGAGTAGAACAACTTTTATACTTGAGACCAAGGCCAATTTGGCCTGGAAAGGCTCCAATTTCATCACAACCCTTCGGAACCCTAG